TCAATTCGTAGATGCACCTCGAAAACGTACACCTCAGATCTACGGAGATTTTTAATTGGAAAATTAGGGTTTTTAGACGGAAATATTTCCCACAAAACCAAGAACTCTTCATCGCTAATAAGATTAGCGTCGTACTAAAGGACGAGGAGGTGGCGGAATTCTTCAAACGTAACCACGCTACGACAAAAAAGCCTCAATTTATAAAGCGAAACTCGACGAACTTCGCAGAAGTCGCAAAGGCCGGCCGTCAACAGAATCTTAACAACTTCAATTATGGCGCGAAAACGGCAACCTCTGACCCAGTTAACCTGGGTTGTCACGTCGCCGTCGCCCCGAAAACGTCTGTACCTTAAGATCCCTAATATCCGGTTACCGGCGGACTACTGCCGTCACAGGGTTCTCAATAGAATTTTTTAGAGCTGTTTCTGTGCTACACTAGAATACATGGCCAAAGGTCGTGTATCTTGGACCCATTAGGCCAAGCTGCCTGAGGCTTTTCGACTTTCGCTTCGCAGCGGCCTTGTTTCAGCATATTGAAAGACGACATCTGCGAGAGGCCTTGGCTAGAATTTGCAACTTCAATATGGCGGCCAGATTTCAACGTTGCGGAGACGTTGCGAAACATAGCAATTATTCGGCCATGCTGTGGTCTGCTGACAGGCTATTCATTTTGAAAACTAAAACCGACTAGCAGTCAATCCTAAACTCAGTTACCTCCTCAAAAAGTCGCTCTTTTAATTGCCTTTAAGAGACGAATTGATCTACTGGTCGAAACGCTTTGACAGCCGTAACACTTGCCAGTAACACCCGTAACAGGTTTTACGGGTTACGAGTGTAATTGAGAATCCTGGGGTCTGTCTAGCCTGCTGGCAGGCACTCCTGTTTGGGTTTCACTTTCGGCCTATTTTCCGGGCACTGCCGACTATTTCACCCTCGGCAGCCACTTAGGTGCAAAAAATCATCAAAACCTCTTCGCTCATATTTAACAAATGCCAATTTAAAAAAGTGAGTATTACCTAGTTTAATTACACACTAAAACAAGGAGTAACGTTCAAGGCGCGCTTGGATTGGCTACTAAAACTCCAAATATCCTTTGCTATTCACCTCCGAGTATTTGCGCCGGAAAATCTTGTAATCGTTGCAGGAATACATGTGTTAAAATCATCATTTGGTGGTCTATGATCTTACTGTTTACGTATATTCTAAACAACTAGTCACCTCAGTGTTGGAGGCTATTGATGAATATTTACCTCGCCGCTTCGCGGTTCGGTAAATGTCCATCAGTAGTCACTTACACTTCAGTAAATAGCATTTAATGATAGAGATCAGAGGTCACCTGTTGTTTGACTAATTCTTTTAGTTCGGGCAGAACTTGTTCTCTAAGTTCCCTGTAAATGTAGAATGATAAGACGTTTCAGGTTTACAACAATCTTACGGGAGTTATTAGTAAACAGTCACATAAACCAGAAAGTCACAGAATTGAAACACCGAATAACCACTTTGATGAAGCTCAAAACAAAATGGAAAATCAACAGAATACCTGTCATTAACTAGAATTAACTCTTTGATCTTAAAAAGTCTCAAGCTTTCCTGTCCCGTAACTTTGATTCCTTTTAAATATTCTAAGAGCATTTCGATTTTTTTTATCGTAAATTTGCGCGAGAACGGTTGTTTCTCGTTTTCTTTAAACTTTGCGCGGGAAATTTGGCGACTGACCAAATTGATCCATTTGCGCATGCCCCAAGTCTGCCTCATTTTGTTTTTAATCCAATCACCAGCTGTTAAGTGGGATGTGAGCCCACGCTCTTCCTCTCTTCTCCAGTAGGAACGAGTGCACTAGACTCGAGAGGAGAAGCAGATATCGGGAACCTAGTTAATCAGATACTGAACTGGAACTGTGAAAAGCAGTCAGATGTTGACCATCCTTAGAAGTCAAAAGTTCAGTGAAAACTTCCTCAGTCTTTGGCGAGATCACCGTGACTACGAAAGCACACTGAAAGTCGACTTATTTAACTACTCACACGACAGGTTTAGCCTTGAGCTCCATGATGTTTCTCGCATGAATTTCCTCTTGAAGAATTTTAACAATTTGCGAATATCCTAAGTTGAACACGTACGTCTGCAAGAAAAATAGTAGTGTCGAGGGTGAGGGTCGAATCACACAAATGGCCCCTTCAAGGGAAAGTACGGTCTAGAAAAAGTTTGTCTCGGGAGTTCGAAAATAACTGCCATTTTGTCCAGTTTGCTTTGTATTAGTGACAAGGGCGCGTTGAAGTTGCCCATTTTTACAACTTTCGTGGCTAGAAAAATGCCTTCTTGGATATTACGTCAGTTGGGACGTAGCAATAGTCAAACTTTGTTCGGCGCTTTTGTCCTCGTTGTCCTGTTTGAAATTTGTGAAAACAATTTCTAGTACTCCTTATACTTGAAATGAACTGTCGTGTGGTTGAATGTCAAAATACATACTAAAATTCAAAAGGAAAAGGTGTAAGCCTCCACAAGCTACCAGAAAGTGAAATATTGAAGAAAAGTTAGCCGGCAAAAATAATCCGCGAGGACTGCTTGCCAAACCGTGCAAAACCTGAGAACTGCCAAAACGAAGACTTCCTGCGAGATATACAGGCATGTAAGTTTTCCTTGTTGACCTTCGCTTCAAACTGAAAGCTATGCTTACCTTTTCCATATTCAAAACAAACTTCAGTTATTCATTCTATGAATTTTTTCAAATCATTTTATTGTAAGCAAATAAATTGAAGTGGTGGTACACCGTGTGTGGTAAATTCTCAGTCGCCAACCTTGACCAAAGCCGATTTTCAACATCGTGCGCTTTTCCAAGTAGTGTATAAATATATCTTGTCTTCAATAAGCCTGTTATGAGTCCACCGAGTAAATTTTCTTTACTCCACCAGTCACATTCTTCTGAGAAAAAAAACTAACTGACATTTTAATACATTGCCGGCAAATAATCAAGACAGACACATTTGCGACAAATACAAATTATCCTTCGTTAGGCAGGCGCCCATGATTCACTATATCATACCGATTGGACACGATAAAAATAGAATGAAAATATTTTTTGTCTTCCAACCAACTACTTGACGTAATTATGCAGTGCTTATGCTTTCAAAAGAAATCGAAAGTTTCATTTTAGCTTCAGTTATATTGAGGTAATTTCTAATGTAAACACTGCGGTTGTTTACCATTCACAAAAAGATTCCGAAATTTTGGTTCGGAATTTTCGTTAGGTAAAAACGGTACGGGTCGTTTACCATTTGCCTAAAATTTCCCCACTGTCGCGCCGCGCCGGATAGGAGAAACTGATCGGCTAAAAATTCGCTATATTTAACAGCTCAGTTGATATATCAGCTGTGTATAAATAAAAGAAAACACGTTGCAGAAAATTTGCGATTATTTTCGCGGGAGGATAAAATACAGCGTAAAACTTGACAGTCATTCGATTTTAGACACAAATTAGCGATTTTAAGTCTGCTCACCTTCTAAATACAAGGAACAGCTGTGTTAAGAATATTTCCAGAATTGGAGACGAATGAGAGCAACAGGAACACTGGTACACTTCCCCCATTTGCTATGAACCCGCCATATTTTTGTTGTTGTTGAAGCGATTGCGCTCGGCCAAAGGCCAAGAGGCTTGAAACTAGTACGAAACTCAAGAAACTTCTAAATGGTAAACAAATTTCCTTTCGCAACGTCCCAACAGGAAAATCGGGGATGAATGAATGAATTCCTTATTTATATTGCGCCCTTTCTATACAATATTCAAAGGCGCAGTACCCCCCATCAATTTTGATAGACACTACACAAAGATAGACCACAAAACCGGGCACTACGCGCCCTACTCTTTTCGAACAGTGTGTGGGTTCTTTAACGTCCCACAATTTTCTTTTATCACATACAAGGGCTTGTGAGACGGGACCTCCATTTATCGTCCCTATCCGAGAAGACTAGAAAGTCTAACCATTTGCAGATATTATTACAAAGGCAGCACTTTCTTCTCAGTTATTTAAAGACCCTGAGTGTTGGTCCGGCCGGATTTGAACTCACGACCTCCCGCACAACAGTCCGGCGCTCTACCAATTGAGCTAACCGGGAGGCGGTTAG